GGAGGCGGTATGTCTGCTAAAAGCAATAACTGTCTGCTAAAAACCACCATACGATTCCCACTATATCATGACCATGTCTTTATCACTGTGTCTGTGACACTATCAAATAGTTATGACACCTAGTGTTCACGAAAAGGTGAGCCTATCCTGCCCAACCCGCGACTCGTCGCAAACACACGCAGAGGCAAATCAATTGTTCATGTAAAAAACACGCATGGCGCAGTGGGGGACTATTTCGCGCCGGAACAAACTGAAAAGTAAAGAATTTCATTATGAACGCCCATTAAAAGAATTTACACGCTTTTGTATCCTACCCACGCGCCAAGTCCTATGAACAACAAAACACATATATACAAGAATAAATACAATTTTACGAACATTTCTCTGTATATACACCGGTATGTATGCTCAGAAAGGTAGACGTTTGTACGCCCACAGTTTTCCTGTTACAAATAGAGGACAGGGGTTCTATTCATGATCGCCACACAGATCGTGCAGTGTCAGCCTCTATGACTACCTTCTCAGCAGTATACAGAGGTTGTCAGGAGCTTCATCTCAACATCATCCCTCATTCCATGACCTGCATCTACCCACTCTGTATTTACTGTATATTCTCGTTCAGGCTGATTCGATTCGATTGTTTATTCAGTAAAGACTTGGGCTATATGCCCCTCGTCATCATTTTACACTGTATACATGATAGAATATGGTTTTCCATTGAAATATACATATTTTTTACATTTACAAAAGGAGGCTGGACAAAACATTTCGGTACTTACATGGATAACTTTATGTATTTACATAATTTTGCAATACCATCTTTAGATGTGTTTCTTAATAATTCCAAAAATTTCAACACACTTGGTTTCTTCCAAAAATAAGGTTTAATCAGCTGTTTTCGGTGTACTGTATGTTTTGGGCAAATTAAAACGAAATGGTATTCATCTTCAATTGCATTTACATTATTTTCTTTACAGTAGATACAATATCTTTTCTCCCGATCAATAATTTCATAACGCCCAGTTTCAATTTTTAATTTATGACACGAACTCTGGTAAAGGGTAACCTAGCAATAACCTAGCAGATGGCGGAAATATCTCATCACCTATCTTTCAAATTACGGACAACCATTTTATTCTATTAATCAAAAAATCAAACGTACCCGGTGACACAGCGCAAATTTGAAACCCTGTGCTTGATTTAATCAAGCTGAATCATACCCTTTATCTGAAGCCGGCGGTTGTAGGATCCTTGCCACAGTTAGAGGAAACGTCTATGTAATATATCTATCCTGCGTACACATTTACCTGCACACACCTTTTCCTATGTACAATGTTGACGACGTAGTGTAAGAAACACTCACTATAGGAAGTACACAGTACTTCTGAGCATACCTGTACTGGGGTTACTGCACTACAGGTACGTGTTTACCGTTAAGTCAACACGAATTGCATGGTTTGTTTTTAGATAGCAATCATGGATAAGAAAAACGAAAAAATACGATTTCCGCAATCTGTTGAATACCTAAGGATCGGCCACATTATACAAAGGGTGTTAGCGTCATAGGTATGTGATGCCACGCTCCAACCACGTGTGTTAATACATGTGTAATCGCTATCATCATATTTGCACCACGATGTTTATCAAAGTGTTACCCACACTGAAAGTAGTGTGGTTGTGTTTTGATCAATAGACTCTCTTGGTAAGGTGAGTGTTATAGCATCTCTAGCTGTTACGGAGAGGTGTGTGTGATTAGGTAAGTTTGTCATTATCTGAACATTGAACCGATAGCTCACAGCTGCCGTTACAGTAATTTGCACATTGCTGTATGGATGTGAGTCTGGCATTGATTGTATACATTACAATAACGAGCTGTTTAATCAAAATCGGTGGTATGACGTGGGTGGTTTCTGAAAGTGGTGATTGTGCATGTATTTTATATATATGAAGAATGGTATGTCGATGCGAAAAATGTATAATAAATCACCAGCTGTCACAGGGAATGTAGTTTGTATTTTCCCATATACGTGTGTTTAGTATAAGTGTGGACCTCAGCGGCGCACAGGAACGGTGGGTAGCCTAGTGGATAAAGCGTTCGTTCGTCACGCCGAAGACCCGGGTTCGATTCCCCATATGGGTACAATATGTGAAACCCAATTCTGGTGTTCCCCGCCTTGATATTTCTGGAATATTACCAAAAGCGGCGTAACACCAAACTCACTCACTCAGTAGCGCACACTGTACTAATGTCAAGCATTCATCAAATCAAAGGAACTTCTATATATTTCTATTGTTTTTCATGCATACATGTTTATATTGCAGTTGTATGTATACCATCATACATACCTTATACATACACTAAAATACATGCACTTTCATGTAACACTTTCACCTGTAAAGGCGACTAACGGGATCGGGTGGTCAGGCTCGCTGAATTGGTTGACACATGTCATCATATCCCCAATTGCCTAGACCGATGCACTTGATGTCAGTCACTGGATTGTCTGGTCCGGACTCGATTACAGATAGACCGCCGCCACATAATTGAACTATTGCCGAATGCGGCGTTAACACACACACACCCACACACACCCACACCCCAACAAAAACAAAAGCAACTTTCACGTGTACACTGTAATATATATCCTTTCTTGTATATACTTTCATATTGTACACGTTCAATGTATGCATACATTCACAAAACTCTTTTATGCACAGACTTTAATATAATAAACTTTCATGTATACAGCTTCTTACATACACTTTCATGTAAACACTACCATACACAAATATGTATACGTACTCATACTTACACAGTTATCGAAGACGCCGCAATGGGCTGTGCGGTGTTGCTCTCCTTGTACACGTCATGCCGAAGACCCGGGTTCGAATCCCCACATGGGTACAATGCGTGAAGCCCATTTCTGGTGTCCCCCGCCGTGATGTCGCTGGAATATTGCTAAAAGCGGCGTAAAACCAAACTCAGTCAGTCAGTCAGAAGCCAATGAATGTGGGTTCGAGTACCGGTTCATCTCAGTTATGTTTCTGGGTGTAATCTGTTTAACACCATTTCACAAATATTAGGTCACTAAGCTGGTATGCGTTTTAGACATTTTTATCACTTCGGACAATTAAAACATGAAGCTGAGACACTGTGATCAAAGCGGTGATAAACTCACACTTTCATGTAACACTTTCACCTGTAAAGGCGACTAACGGGATCGGGTGGTCAGGCTCGCTGAATTGGTTGACACATGTCATCATATCCCCAATTGCCTAGACCGATGCACTTGATGTCAGTCACTGGATTGTCTGGTCCGGACTCGATTACAGATAGACCGCCGCCACATAATTGAACTATTGCCGAATGCGGCGTTAACACACACACACACACACCCCACCCCAACAAAACACAAAGCAACTTTCACGTGTACACTGTAATATATATCCTTTCTTATATATACTTCCATATTGTACACATTCAATGTAATCATACATTCACAAAACTCTTTTATGCACAGACTTTAATATAATAAACTTTCATGTATACAGCTTCTTACATACACTTTCATGTAAACGCTACCATACACAAATATGTATACGTACTCATACTTACACAGTTATCGAAGACGCCGCAATGGGCTGTGCGGTGTTGCTCTCCTTGTACACGTCATGCCGAAGACCCGGGTTCGAATCCCCACATGGGTACAATGCGTGAAGCCCATTTCTGGTGTCCCCCGCCGTGATGTTGCTGGAATATTGCTAAAAGCGGCGTAAAACCAAACTCAGTCAGTCAGTCAGAAGCCAATGAATGTGGGTTCGAGTACCGGTTCATCTCAGTTATGTTTCTGGGTGTAATCTGTTTAACACCATTTCACAAATATTAGGTCACTAAGCTGGTATGCGTTTTAGACATTTTTTATCACTTCGGACAATTAAAACATGAAGCTGAGACACTGTGATCAAAGCGGTGATAAACTCACTCACTCACGCACTCACACACGCACAAGGGTGTGCTTAATTACCTTTTTGCAAACAAATGGTGTTATCGCTAATTTTCGGTAAGCAAATCATATATTATTTACCGCTACTTAGCCTTTTACTCCCTAAGGAATCTGGGCGGATTATCGAGGCTAGTTGTTCTCTAGCGTTGAGGATTTATGTTTCTAAGACATCGTTTTCATGTTTACTCCAAATAAGCTAAAATAATGAATACAAAACTGACGGGACGCGGGACTATGTTCAAATGTAGTTTTGCTGTTCTTTCCCCGTTATAACAACAAAGCCACTTATTAACATAGTTCCGCGGCCCGTTAGTTTTATATTTATCATATATCTATATATTACCTTAAATGAACAAGCATACGAATTGCAACAATACAGTTTGAGTATTGTGGTGCGGTTTTAATATCATTTTAACATTCGTATTGAAAACCATATCCAATCTAGATATAGATGTGCATGGCACCATGTAATTACAAGCTCACAATTTGTCATGGTCATTACTGAGTTCGTACTCATTAATTGAAGATTCACTATAAAGCAGTATTGAAGCTTATTCAACCACAAACTTGTAAATATAATAACTGCAATATTAAGTTTTCAAAATGCAGAGTGTTTGGGACTGGATATTCTTGTAACAGTCCTATAGCTCGTGTACGAGATTGAAATTTAAAGCGACTATTATTTATGGTAGATCAGAACATTCAAAACAGGATACGTCGGAATGCCAATTTGTGAAGTCATTCCCGACCGAGCATCACAGAGGATGTTATGCACCCACTACTACGCGGTTGGCGATAAAACACCGCTCCAGGATACAAACGATTTTTCATATTGTTTCACAGCCTTGCTTTGTCCAAACTCCGCAACACCGCCACGCCCCACTGATTCTCAAACTCAGATTACGCATGGGCGAATCCACTAGACCTGGTCATGTGACTGATTGCCGCTCGCACCGACCAATCAGATTGGCCGGATCGATGAACACAAAGACCGTGTCTATTTTTATGTTGCACACGTTGTACACGGCCGCAGATAAGCACATAGGTCCCAGCTGGTTCGGGGTGGTTGTCTGTTTATCACTGGACCCTAGCAGACTATCGGAGATTTAGACTGACCACTGGAAGTAGGACATCTTATTTTTTTGACAATTCAGGTAGGTGTTTAAGGTCTTTGTTCCTTCCCCAATCTGGCGCGTGAGTCACTGCATTCAATATCCTTGTATCATTGCTATGGCTAACGGATTAAGGAAACATTGGGTCGTGTTGACTGGACTGGTCCTTTCGTGTGTGACGTCATCGTTCGGGGAGACCGTTAACACTCATATCATCGGGATAGGGGGTACTGTTTTATTACAGACCACCAAACACCAGGCGTCAGCATAAAACATCACCGTATTGACAATGCACGTATGATATTGCTTTTATACATCACCGTTAGACTCCACTTGATCATGCCGTTAAACTCTACTTTAATCAACTCGTTGACAATTCCTACAACATAGCTATTCAATATCTGTGAAAATTATTTTCGATTGTTTATATTTTGCTATTTAGAAACAATTGTATGTGAAGTTTAAAATGACAACAGAAGCATATAAACATCTATATCACAGGCCACTATAGACAGGTTCAGACCAGATGACGAGACGGGTGAAACTGATTATCGATCACGTGCAGCACGGGCTTGTCGCCTGAGGCTCGTGCACTACACGAGATTCCATAGTGGTAATGAAGAGACAAGGAAGTGACTGAATCTATTATTGATTAGAAATGAACTCTCCTACATCTGTTCATTAACAGCATGTTGTATTTCACAGGGATATTATCGGTCATCTCGCGAATAATATTATAACTTATTTAGATCTAATCAAATACTTAATAACATGCGATTGTTTCTCTCAAAGGATAATGAGATTATTTGAGATAATTCATGAAATATGATACATTTTTGTGAAACCACTCATCCGATCAAATGTGTTTACATTTCTTTGGGTTGATGTGCATATTTACAACAGTGCACTGTTAAGGTCACTGTGAAATCGACACCATTGCCGTATAAAGGACAACTGCCAAACTTGCTTGGTTTCTTCTCTAAATGGTGGACCCGTGAAGATCCGGGATAGAATAGGTCTTCAGCAACCTTGCTTGCTACAAAAGGCGACTATGCTTGTTGTAAGACGCGACTAACGGGATTGGGTGGTCAGGCTCGCTGACTATGTTGACACATGGCATCGGTTCCCAATTGCGCAGATCGATGCTCATGATGTTGATCACTGGATTGTCTGGTCCGGACTCGATTATTTACAGACCGCCGCCATATAGCTGGAATATTGCTGAGTGCGGCGTAAACTAAACTCACTCACTCACTCATTCACTCTAAATGGTGCACTTGACATGCAGATGTACTCCATATAAAAGTAACATGACTTAACCATTATCATAAAAAGTTTTCTGAAAGCCTAGTCTGTTGTACAATCGTATAGGTACATACAGCAAAATCTCATTAAGTCCACAAGCTATGGCCCAAACATCGAGTTATCGGTAGTTCGAGACAAATTTAAAGCCGAGTGGTACTACCGGCACGTCGACTTGAGTTGACGGAGAGTGAGTTACCAGGGATATCACGGAATGCATGTCTCGAAACGTTTGCTGATAAGAAGGAACTACTATACTTATATGAGAAATGTTTTGATGTGATCCCCATACGATCACTGACTCATTCATCCCCCACAGCTTATTAACCCCAGACTAATCCACCTTTTGCATAATCAGCCATTAACAAAGTCTGTTGGCGTTGAAAAGTCGTAATTAATACTAGCTGTACGAAAGTCGTGTAGATATTATGATGAGGCCCACTGAAGCGTGATGTTCACAACCACCGGGGTGGCATCTAGCCCTTGGGTGTATATAACGTGACATATAACAGCACCAGGGGAATGTATATACACTGTATAGCGAGTAGGTGTGGGAATAACGGTGTTATTGTATTGATTCCCGCAACGTCTGGCGTTTATATCAGTGTCATGTTAACGTGACTGACAGTTTCTGAAGAGAGAGAGATCTAGGCTTATACTTCCCCCAGTAGTATCGTTGTCGGCGTTAGTAAGTAATGGATATTGGTGACATTATGTAGAGAAAAAATATAAATAGATCTCAGCATTTTTTTGAGTAAGTGATAAATATTTACACCGATAAGTAGTAGTTATTAGGCGTTCTACCCATTTAACTAAATTAAGGTGTGATGAATAGCGTGTACTGAAAACAAAGATGTTATAAATGAAATAAAAAAAGGAATAGATCCCGAATGAGTCCATTCATAGTTCACGTTAAGATGTGTTTGTTTCTTGCTTAACGCCGCACTCAGCAATATATTGTAAATATTCGAGTCTGGACCAGATAATCTAGTGATCAACAGCATGAGCATTGATCTGCACAATCAGGTTACGATGACATGTGTCAGCCAAGTCGACGAGTCACCACCTGATCCCGTTAGTCGCCTCTTACGACAAAATGGGTCTTGCGTTAAGACGTTTTTGTTTAAAAAAGATCAGTTATCAGTTACTGATGATAAAATAACGAAATACCAACAGAACACTCATCGGCTTATGTTTCTGAGTCCGTCAAATCAAATATAAAGACCCATGATTTGTTTCATACCAGAAAAACCACATCAAGTCCAGACAAGTCGCTTCATCCGTAGCTTCCTACAATGCAGTTATAGCATAGACAATACTTAATCCCTGAGCATTACAGTAAGTGCTGAGTATAGACCGGTACTCAAGCAGTAGGCTGACTGTACTCTCTCACCTGTGCGTCTTGGCCTGCTACACCTGGATTACCTCGTCCTTTTCCTGTTTGTTGTATATTACCTGGCCAGGTGTAGGGTCAGTACATTGAGTGGCTTTACAGACACACACGTGGATATGCAGTTATAATGTATCCGGCCGAAGTACTTTGGATGTAAAGATTTTCACTAGATGAATATGTGACTAAACAGCTGGGTATTTATGTATGTGTAGCAGAATCAATGATTGGTTGACTTCAGAGGAATAAATATATGCATATTATAACATCTAGTCACATCTGGTAAGTCTTGTATTCATCTGGTTGAAATGTTTATAAGCAACTGACCCTGTATTTACCCCATTCACTCTCTCTCCTTTCTCTATTATATAGTTCGTCACTTTATAAAGGTAAAATGCTTCACGTACTTGCTAGGTCCGATCGCTTGTTGGGGGGCGAATCCTAGACTTATGGTTTGTACGGATCACGCCCCTGTTCAGGATTTAGCGAAAGTGTAAATACCAGTGTCCTTATCTGAACCCCATCAAACTGACATGTGCAGCTTCAAACTCAACTCACTCACCCTTTATTTATTCCAAATGTCTTTTAACATTTAGTAACATTCAATTTAAAAAGATCGATGATGTCCTATTTTTTTTCAAAGTGAAACAATGAATGAAAAATGATTAGATTTGAAAATATACTCAAAATTCTTATAGTATGATTTACCTTCGATCACCCCGTGAAACATTTTGAATATAAATGTAATAGAACTAGTGATCTAAATGAAGGCTTTAAAATAGAAAAGTATCAAGAAGCCGTAGCATGCTGTCTTAAATCTGCAGGCCCCATCCTCATCAGTGCTACTTGGATACGCTAAAGTATGTTTTAATCCTACAGGGTGCTGTAGTTTACGTGTTAATCACTGTCTATCCGATGTAGCTAAGTTGTATAGTCATTGGTCAGCACGCCGGTACATGTACATGTTATGTGAACTTATCATCTAATGACACTGGGGGATATTCTGTAGCACATTATGGGGTCATTTATCAGGTTTCTCCGTCTGTGATCTCGCGAGTACAATGATGGCATCGGAAAGTCATTTAACCCAAGATGTTGCTTATTGTTTTAGACCAGTGTTTGCTGAAAATATATATGATTCCTTTGTGACTCTAAATATGATACTTCACTCACTTACAACGTTGAAGATGTTGTATGCTGACGAAGTAGTCCCATGTGTATAGGCACTATTGTCGTCGAGACAAATTAGTCATTGTTCACGTGCGCAATAATTCGTTCGATGTGTATGTGAATATTCCCGAGCAATAAAATCCGTATGATGGGGAAATCTAGTTGAATAGGGAAGGATCACAATATATGGATGAACAACTTCTTTATTGCTGTGAGAGCGATGTTTCTGTGTAGGTTCTGACACCGTTTTCAAGCAAGTGATGACAGTTTCCTCATGAAACTCCTCATCACTTGCTTGATAACGGTGTTAGAACCATGCACCGAAACATCGCTCTCACAGCAACAAAGAAGCTGTTCATCCATATATTGTTATCCTTCCTTACTGCTCCAACTTCTAAATGCTTCTCAAAGAAGAAACCTAGTTAAATAAGTCAAAAAGCAATGGTCTTTGTGTTATTCGAAGTTGTGTATGCAACGTTCAACGTTTCTAATATAAATAATTACGACATTGAATACACGCGTTTGATGAATATATTCCCCAAGATGCTTATGTTCAGTTTAAACATAACAATAAAATATCATGATAAAATCGCGGGCGGACTGACTTGTGTCATATCTGGCAAATATCCCGTTTTATCACTTTATGATCTTTCACACTTTGCATGTAAAACGTGGCCTTTTGATTTCCGAATATAACCAAACGTTGTTATAACATTCTACAAAGCGATGCGCGATACGAATGTTTACACAAACCTCCCCCGTGACCAGTAGGATAATTTCAAAATAAACAAAACCAAAACCGGAAAATGACTTCCCTTACTTCTAAAGGCTAATCCTCTAATCCTTTGGTCATCTCAGAGATTAGGACCAGATTGCCTCGCCGATAATCACCATATTTGGGATGGTCTCCAAACGTTGGCTACCATGACAAATGCCAGTTTATTTGGTTAGGTGAATCAAAGCATTAGCTGACTCAGAGGGTCCATCTTGGAGACAAAGAACCATGTTTTGGTGTTGTGTTGAAGCATACAGATGGAGAGACTCGTGTCATTAACACGTGGTGCGCATGAGATCAGGAAATATAATTCAGCAAGCGTGTAATTTAAGAGCGCCACAACAGCGAGACATGACAGACTGTGTCTGCAGCTCGGAGGGAACAGAGCTCTAAGTAGATATTTGG